ACGAGTGATGTTGAACATTTTTTCATATGCCTGTTGGCCATCGGCATTTCCTCTTTGGAGAAGTGTCTTTTTAGCTAGGCTAGAGACCTTTTTAATGTAAGAAGGTAAAAAAGTAAATAAAATAAAATAGCAATCAGGAAATCCTAGCTCAGTACTTTTTTCTCCTGACTCCAAACTCCTCCGTTTCTATCAAATTTAAGCCTAACTAACTTTTCACCTACCACTACCCTCAAACCTATCCCTAGAAATGCCTACCTAACTCAGCAACTATTCCATGGATTAAAATAAATTATTTTGCATAGACATCTTTTTAGTAGATGATATTGATGGTCTGGAAAGATGACTTTGACAATACAGAGATGCCAATAATTTTAAATATATTTTTTAAAACTTCTTAAAATGAGAACAAGAGAGCTATACACAAGGAATTGGCACCTGCCCTGGACATCAGCATGTGCAAATGGTGATGACTAGACCTGCTGCAGTCATCTTGTAACTAAAGAAGAGCCACCATGAAGTCAGGTCAACACAATGAGATGGCATAACAGAGAGTGGAAAGAACCAGAGTCCTTGATCATGTTACTGAGCTGGAATATACCTATTATGGACTTCCTATCATCAAAGGTAACCCTTATCTTTCCCATTTATCCAAAAGTTCATCACTTTCCACAGAAAGCCTTCTAATTGATCCAAGTACCCCACTTAAACCCTTAGGATGTCTTTTTGTGCTTTTCCTGATTTTGTGGAAGTCAAAATCCCTGATGGTTATCATCTGGATTTAGTCCCTTAGATATGAACTTGGATCACTCACTCAGAATTATCTTAATTTATAAAACAGGTATTCCTGGAGTAACAGGTAGGTGAGTAGAATAAAATAATAGAGATAAGCTAGGTCAGACAAGGTAAAATGTGAAAGCTAAGCAAGAGTGGTAAATGAAAATTTGGAAGGCAACTCTCTCAAGCTGACCCTTATAAGTCCATTCTTAGGAACATATGAGTTACATCTTTGGGGATAGTGTGGAACATTATAGTTATGGTGTGATTGAGAGCCACACTTGCCTCTTAAGGAGAGACATCAGTTATCACAGGATATCAGAGGATGTTTGTCATGCTTGTTTTCATCAGAAACAGGTTAAGTTCTGACATGCCTCATTATGACACAGTATTCTAAAATGAGAGACTTAATTTCAGTTTTTTTCTGTGAACACTGAGATGGCCATGATATTGCTATCTTTTAGCCTGGCGCAAGATTCACAAACAAGATTTCTTTAACATTCAATTTAGGATAGTTTTCACCATGACCTTTTGCCTTTCCAAGCATCTTTATAAAGACAGTGTAACTGTCTTCTTTAAAGTATGTGAAAATCGTTCACATGGTGTTGAACAGTAAATTTAATAAGCATTTTTTTTATTCTTATATTTGAGGTATTTGAGAAAAAAATTAATTCACAAATAAGTTATTCATTGAGCTTAAAGCTGTAAAGAGGAAGGCAGTAACTAAGAGAGTAGAAATAAATAGAAAAACAGTACAATGAATCATTGAGACCAAAATTTGTTCTTTGAAAAGATCAACAAATTTACAAATCTTTAGCTAGATTAACTAAAAAAAATTGTCAAATTACTAAAATCAGAAATTAAGGAGGGAACATTACTACTGGCTTTGTAGGAAAAAAACATTAAGATAATTCTATGTACAGCTATTTCCAAAAAAATTGGGTAATTTGAATGAAATAAACAAATTCCTCAAAAAACACAAAATATGAATATTGACTAAACAACATAGACACTCTGAGTAGATCTATGAAAGTAAAGTACTTAGATCAGCAATCAAAAACCACCCAACAACAACAATACCCCCAGAGTTCACCTGTGAATTCTACAAACATTTAAAGGAGAGTCAACACAGATACTTCTCAAACTCTTCCAATAAATAGAAGAGGTGAGAGTATTTCTTAACTCATTCTACATTACCAACATGATACCAAAGCCAGACAAAACTGTAAGAAAACTCCAGACTGATAGCCATTATGAATGTTGATACTAGGAACTAAGGGAAGGAGGGTTGAGAGTTATTGTTTAGTGAGCAGATCTTCTATTTGGGGTGATAAAAAGGTTTGTCAATATTGGTGATGGTTGCAGAACATTGTGGATTGACTAATGCCACTGAATTGTACATTTAAAATGGTAAAATTTATGTTTGTTGTATGGTGATTTAACAAAATTAAAAGTTTGTGTTGGATAATGGTAAGTACATTATTTGGCACTATGAGATAATTCATCTAGAGGATCAATGATATAAATAGCCATTTACTTTTCAATTTAGACTTTTTAATGCAGAATATACATTTGCAATGAAACTACAGTAAACAGTTCTTTCAAAAGCCTTGGTAACTTATCAAAACAGAAAAGCAATATATTGAGTCAGAAATGGCATTATTTTTATCAACTAGTGATACCTGAAGAAAAGCAGTGGAAAATGAGAAAACAACGTTTTCTATAGATTCTGGGGAAGTTTTTGGGAGATGGGTGGCCTGATTGTTTAATTGTCAGTGTATGACCTTATCTGGCAAAAAGAACTTTACAAATGTGATTAAAGATCTTGAGATGGAAAGATTATCCTGAATTGTCTGGTAGACTTTAAATAACCACAAGGGTAATTATAAGGGGAAGCAGGAGGATCATGGAAGATAAAGCAGAGGAGGAGAAGGTGATTCTTGAAAGAAGAGAAGTCAGAGTGATGCATGGGGCCACAAGCCAAGACCCATGGACACCCTCTAGAACGAACAGGTGAGGAATTGTCTTTTCCTTAAAGAGCTTCTAGAAGGAAAGCAGCATTGATGAACCACATTGTACTTCTGCACTCAGACCAGAAAGATAAAAAGTGTGTGTTTTGTTAATCCAATAAGTTTGTTGTAATATGTCACAGCAACAAAGCAGAACTAAAATGACCAATTTTTACTTCCAAATTCACTGTTTCTTTTCCTTAAAACAGTTTTATCATAAGGACATTTTTATATTACTCAGTTAATGTTATGGATTTAAGAAGGGTTGTTAACTTTGATGAAGACAGTGATACAGATAATACTTCCATTTGCAGTGTGTGTGCTAGATACAAAGCATTGTGTTAAAAGCTTTATGAAAGAATTTTATTTTAAAAATCCTTATAATCTCTTCAGTTACGTGTCCACCATCAACTTTCACTGATGTGCAAACAGGGCCTTACATTATTTATATAAGGTCCCACAATAATAGTGAAACTACGCATTTACTGAAAGACCATGACAAGACAGGAGTTATTTTTATGTTTTCTGTGATCTAGATTAAGGATACTTGTCTTCAGAAAGAGAATGAAAAATCTGAGAGAAATTGAGCAATTCCCCATATTCATAATAGCTCAGTTCAGTATCCTGAACTAAGGTTAGAACTAAGTTTTAGAAAAGCTACAGTCATTTCTATGTTTTTGAAAGCGAATGTTCATAAACCTAGATCTTCTTAAAAGAGTGTTAGTTTTCTTAAAATTTCTGAAAAAAGTCTGTCTTCAAACTTCTTCATAATGAACATTGCTATATTATACATTCGGCACAAGTATTTGTTGAAGTATTTTGTAGTAGTTACTGTTTATGTTGCTAGTCTATTTAAAGTATATTTTATATATAGGTTTTGTAAACAGTAGTAAATCTAGAGGACATTCTTTGAGCAAACAGCAATTATATTGAATACTGTACTAATTTTATTTATCCTTTCCTTTTTGCATTACAATATTTTTTTAAAAAGTAATTTAAAGAGAGTGTACAAAGTACATTTGATGAGTTGGGATGTAGAT